CTATGGGAGAAGGCATGGGCAGTGAGGAGGGCGATGTAGGTGCCGGCGGACATGGCGGCATGTTCTACCATGTAGGAGAGGCATGCTCCGAGGACATGGTTGTACCGGCCAGCAAGGTTGCTCTTCACCGTTCCTCCCATTGGGTCATCGACACAGGAGCCTTCATGACCATGACCAACCGAGAGGATCTGCTGGATGAAGTCAGGCCATCAAAGGCAGCCACCGTTGTTTCAGCCACCGGCCAAGTTGTACCCGTGCGTGGCGAGGGGAGAGCCATGTTTATGGGTGCGGATGGGAGGCTTGTGGGGCTGAAGCGTATTCTCCTTGTCCCTGGACTATGTGCCAACCTTCTCTCTACCAAGGCATTGAGTGAGGCAGGGATGAAGATGGAGATGATGGGCACAAAGGTGTTCAAGGCAACTCTGGATGGGCGCGTGTTGTGGGACCTCCGAGGCGGCAAGGACATGCACCGGTCCATGTGGGAGATACCGGTGCTGCCATGGAAGGAGGCGGCTGCGCACTTGGCTGCTGAAGCTGTAAGAGGAGGGCATGCAAGCCACGTAACCAGTGGAGGAGGTGGTGATGGCAGTGATGGTGGGCTGCTTGTGCATGGGGGGGGTGCACTACCAAGTGTAACTCCTAGCACGGGTGAGACGGATTGGCTCACCGCACACCGTCGCTTTGGCCACGTGGCGCTACCTCAGTTACAGCAGCTGTTTAAGGAGGAAAGAGTCAAGGGGCTGAGGATAAAGGGGGAGCCCAAGGAGGTGGGCTCTTGTGAGACTTGCTTGACCAGCAAGTTCTCACGATTTCCCTTCCATTCGACGGTGGGGCAGTCAAGTGACCCGGTGGAGCTCGTGCATGTGGATCTTGTGGGGCCCATGAAGGTGAAGGGAGATGGTGGAGCCCTGTATTCCATGACTATGGTGGATGATTACACAAGGCTCACCTGGTCTTTTCCACTTGCAAAGAAGAGTGATGCTGCAAGGGTCATCATTGAAGAGTGGCTGCCCATGGTGGAGCGAGAGAGCGGCAAGCGGGTGAAGGCGATTCGTAGCGACCGTGGTGGGGAGTTTTTGGGAGCGGAGTTCCGGAGCTGGTTGAAGCGGCATGGCATCAAGCAGCAGCTCACCACGGCCTACACCCCTCAGTCCAACGGCGTGGCAGAGAGAGCGAACCGGACCATCATAGAGGACGGGAGAACAATTTTGGTAGACTCGGGTCTACCCTTGCGGTTCTGGCCCCTCGCTATTCGTCATGCTACCGTCATCAAGAACCGGGTGTTGACTCATGTGGGAGGTCAGCATTGGGTCCCTATGGAGAAGTGGAGTGGCAAGAAGCCCCTGGTTGATATGCTTCGTGTCTTCGGGTGCATGGGGCTCGTGCATGTCCCTAAGGAGAAGCGTGACAAGCTTCAAGCGGCGGCGGTGTGGGCTGTTCATTTGGGTCTTGCACGGGGGAGCAAGGGCTGGCTCATGTGGGACCCAAAATCCAACACCATCTTCACCACCAGAGATGCCAAGTTCATGGAGGGGCTCATGTTCAAGGAGTGGTCGGAGCGGGGGAGGAGCAAGGTCACCATTCCGCTTGGAATAGAGGTGGGAACCAACGACCCACTTCTCATTCCCATCGAGTTGTCCTCATCTTCAGAGTTGACAGAGGTGTCACATGACTTGGGAGATGCTGAAGGGGAGGCAGCAGATGTGGAAGAAGTACTACAGCAAGGGGAGGCCCCTATAGCTGAGAGAGGTGATACCGAGGAGGAGGTGCAGCAGCCTACACCATCCCCTAAGCTTCCACCAAGGCACACAACCCAAGGGAAGCGTGATGCTGTCCGTGGTGGAGCCAAGGAAGGAGCAGCTAAGGAGAGGCCCAAGAGAGCTGCCCACCCAAGGGATTTCCTCAAGTATGAAAGGCTTGGGTTTCCCAAGGCATTGCTAGTCCAAGAGGAGGAATATGAGGAGGAGAAGGGAGCCGAGGGAGAGATGGAGCAGATTTGTTGCTTTGGCGTCAACTTACCTCATGAGCCGGCGTCAATGGAGGAAGCTCTCGCAGGAGATGATCGAGAGGCGTGGCTGGCTTCAAGGGAGGATGAGTTCCAGAGCCACATGGCGAATGAAACATGGACCCTTACCAATCTTCCCCCAGGAAGGAAGGCATTGGACTGCACGTGGGTGTTACGTGTAAAGACCGATGCGGAGGGGAGGTTGGAGAGGCGCAAGACAAGGCTTGTGATCAAAGGCTTTCAGCAGAGGGAGGGAATTGACTTTCAAGAGGTGTTTGCTCCTGTTGCCAAGGCTCCTACGCTCCGGTTGTTGCTAGCAGCCGCTGCCGTTTGTGGCTGGAAGGTGGAGCAAATGGATGTGAAGACGGCGTTCCTCTATGGCGTGGTAGATGAGGAGATCTACATGAAGCAGCCAGAGGGGTATGATGATGGGAGCGGACGTGTTTGCAGGCTCAAAAAGGCCATCTATGGCCTCAAACAAGCTCCAAGGTGCTGGTATGCAAGGCTGGTGGAGGCGTTGGAGGCTCTTGGCTTCAAAGTTAGCGGGTGCGACGAGAGTCTCTTCATGACCGAGGGGGAGGAGGAGAAGGTATTTCTCCTTGTCTATGTCGATGACATCCTCCTCTTCTCTCCATCCCTAGAGAGGATCAAGGAGGTGCAAGGGAAGCTGAAGGAGACCTTTCAATGCAAGGCCCTTGGACCAGTGGGGTATTACCTTGGTCTTCACGTGGAGCGGGACGAGGTGAAGGGATGGTTGAGGCTTCACCAACACAAGTACCTTGCAGCCATGGGGGAGAAGTATGGGCTGGAGGAAGGGAGGAGTGTGAAGACTCCTTTACCCTCAGGGTTTCAGCTGCACCTTAATGAAGAGGAGGGTGAGGTGTTGGAGTACGAGTTGCAGCGTCGGTTCCAGTCAATGGTGGGGAGCTTGATGTACGCTTCGGTCAACACTCGCCCCGACATTGCGTTTTCAGTTTCACAGCTCGCTCGTGTGGTGTCTAGGCCCCTTCAAGAGCACCTGGATGCAGCAGAGAGGCTGGTGAGGTACTGCATGGCAACCTCAAGGGTGGGGCTGCAATATTCAGTGCATGGGCAGCTGAAGCAAAAGGGAGTGGAGGAGGTGAGCACAAAGACTGGTGCACCTGCAAGGCGTGGGCATTTGTACCTCTCGTGTTTCACCGATGCTACCTGGGCAAGTGCCATCAGTGATGTTACATCCCATGGTGGCTATATATGCTGTGTTGGAGGGAGTCCAGTGAGTTGGAAGTCTAAGAAGCAAGGAGAGATAGCTCACTCATCAACGGAGAGCGAGTACATGGCGTTGTTTCATGGAGTGAAGGAGGTGGTTTGGATGAGGAGGTTGCTTGAGGAGTTGGGGCAGGAGCAAGAGGGTCCTACACCTGTGTTTTGTGACAGCCAAGGAGCAATTGCAATGGCGCGTAATGCTGTGCTCCATGGGCTGAACAAGCACATGCATATCAAGTAGCATTGGGTGAGGAAGGAGGTGAAGAAGGGCACCATCTCCTTGCACTACATCAACACTACCAAGCAACCTGCGGATTTCTTGACTAAGCGGCTTGCAGAGCATCAGCATTGGAGCTGTGCCACCTTGTGTGGCATGTCCTTCAACTAAGGGAGGCAGCTTCAGGGAGCAGCTAAGGGATGAATGAGAGCACGATGAGGGGGAGTTTGTTGTGCTAAAGTACTATAGTGGCACGGTCATCGCACTCCCATTCAGCCTACAAGCCTGCTCAGCTTCTGGAATTTTGTGGGGAGGTGCTTCAATATGTGTTCTTCATACCCTCAAAGTTTCAGAATGTTTGAAGCAGTTTACAAGGCATGGCAACATTTTTAGTTTCAAGACTTATGGCATCCCGGAAGTGTGTGTTACTCTTTTTTGGTAACACCCGAGTTCACCATTTCGGCTGCTGACTCATCTACCGAGCTCTGATTGGTCTGAAAATCGGTGTGGCAGTCCTTTGCCATGTTTTGCAGGTGGTCACCGAGTTTCAGGACAACCCAGCATCGGAGCAGCACGTGACAGCTGTCGAAAGTTACTGTTCCGTAGTCATGGTGCACTGTTGGCAGCATTTCCCTTGCCACCCTTTCATTGTTGTCATGCCAATGGTGCAGGGACAGAGAATGAGACAAGAAGTACAGGTGGTCAAGTGGAACTCTACCACCCTCCTTTTGAGAAGTGTGGTCTTCCTGGAAGCAGCTTGCAAGAGGGTGCAAGTGGGAAGACAAGCTGACTCATGGTTGGCTTGACTCACTATTGGTAGCCTTGAGTACAGCTCTGAACATCCAAGTGTGGTTGGCTTTGCTGACCAAGCTAGGACGTTTCCCATACTTCTCTAGCCTTTCTCCCCTAGGACTCAACCTTCTCTGAGTTCCCAGGATGGTCCCAACCCCTTAAGAGTCCCCTAGGCAATGTTGCACTCAACCTCTTCCTTGCATCAATGAAGCTACTCGTTTTTCAGCTGAGCTTACGTTTTTGTTCACTGCGTAGCGCATACACCTCTGATGAAAGCAAGCCATATACCGTTGGAAAGCAGACACCTGAAGATAACGTCTGTCCAAGTTTCAGCCTCGTTTGTTATCGGAGCTGATCGTGACGGCGTTTTGAACAGAGGCGGTTCGAAGTCATCAGATTCTGCTTAGGTGGTTTCAAGGGCATCTACGACCCCTAAGTGGACTCAAGACTATAACAGCTTCTTGTCGACTCCATGGATGGCATACTATTCGCCTTCTTTCTTCGTGCTGGTTTGCCGGTGTTCGTGCTTTTGATTGTGTGAATGTGTTTGCTTGTGTGAGTAACTATGTTTGGTGTATGCGTTTGTAAGTGTGTGTGTATACTGTCAGAATGTTATGTTTGTCTAGCCTGCAGTGGGGTACTCAATAGTGAGTACAGCCCAATCTAGGGTTTGCTATATGTACTCAACTGCTTGCTAGTGAAACCCCTGTTCTCTGTTTCATTCTTTCTGTTGATTCCAACATGCTATCAGAGCAGGTCGACCCTCCTGGGTCGATCCTGTGCATGGGCCCACCAAAACTTCCGCTGTCATCACTGCCTATAGCGCGCCTCGGGCGCGCGCTGGGCGCGCGGCAATTTTTCTTCCCGCCGCGCGCTCGGGGCGCGCGGCGGTTTTCTGCCCGTCGCGCCGCCCTGGGGGCAGCGCGACGCCCTGATCTGCCCGTCGTGCGCCCCGTGGCGCGCGACGGTGCCCTGCCCGTCGCGCGCCCCGGGGCGCACGGCGGTTTCGTCGCCCCGGGGGGCTCGTGCGCGGCCCTCCCGTCGCCCGTCGTGGCGCCATCGGGGGCCCGCGCGGCCCCCCCATTCGTCGCCCGTCGCGGCGCCCCGGGGGGGCTCGTGCGCGGCCCTCCCATCGCTCGTCGTGGCGTCCTCGGGGGCCCGCGCGGCCCCCCTTTCCGTCGCCCGACGTGGCGCTCGTGGGGGCCCGCGCGCGACCCCCCTCTCGTCGCCCGTCGAGGTGCCTTCGGGGGCCCGCGCGCAGCCCCCTCCTGACGCCCGCCATGGCGCCCTCGGGGGCCCGCGCGACCCCCACCCCAGTCGCCCGTCGTGGCGCCATTGGGGGCCAGCGCGCGCCCCCCCCCTCCTGACGCCTGTCGTGGCGCCCTCGGGGCCAGCGCGCGCCCCCCCCCCCTCACCCGTGCCGTCGCCCACTGTGGCGCCCTTGGGGGCCCGCGCTGCCCCTCCTGCAGCCCGCGTGCTGCCCCTTCCGCCCGCGAGCCGCCCCTCGCCGCCTCCTGTCCCCTCCTCCTCCTCCTCCTCCTCCGTCTCCCACTGCTGCAGCTGCCACTGAGGGGGGTGGGTGTGTGGGAGACGACGGAGTGGTACTAGGGGGTTGTGTCGTGTGGGAGTGAAACTAGGGGTGCAGCAGGGGGTGTGTGAAAGGGGGGTGCGACAGTGGGGAAGGTTGAAGGGAGGTAGCTGTCGTGTCGTCAGCAGCGCCAGTAGTCCGGAGGTGCGCCTCCGGTAGCCCAGCGAGCCTGCTGCGCCAGTCGCCCGTGGGTCCGTTGCTCCTGCCGCTCGTCTTAGCCGCGGAGCCAGTTACTCCTGTAGTCCGAAGGTGTGCTTCCGGTAGCCACAGTGCGCGCTGCTCCTGTTGTCCGTGTGTCTGCAGCTTCAGCCCTTGCCTCCTCTATCCTTTCCTATCAGTCCAGCTCCTCCTCCTCACTTGCTCTCTGTGATATCCTCTAGCTTTGCTTATAATTGTGAACTATAAACAGCTACTTCTTGTACTTGTGCTCAGACTGTGTGGTGACATTGTGATCCACCCTGAGCTTGTTTTTGCTTTGCTTTGCTTGTTGTGCTGATTACACCCCACTTTGGCTATGGGGGTGTGTCAGAATGTTATATTTGTCTAGCCTGCAGTGGGGTACTCAATAGTGAGTACAGCCCAATCTAGGGTTTGCTATATGTACTCAACTGCTTGCTAGTGAAACCCCTCTTCTCTGTTTCATTCCTTCTGTTGATTCTAACATATACGTATACGTACGTATGTGAGTCAGTATGTATGTATGTATGTACGTATGTATGTGTGTATTTGCGTGTGTATGTATGTGAAAATTTATACATTGCAATAACAATGCATGTCTGTGATTTTTAACAAAAAGGCTCGGGCCTATCATTTCACAAAAGGTGTCAAGAGAATGAACGAGATTGAATTAACTATGAAACAGCTGGGTACAAATACTAACCCTAATTGGGTTGTACCCCTTATGGGCTACCTCACTATAGCCTACACAAATGTAAAAGCTATAATGTTCTGACACACCCCCATAGGCCAAGTGGGGGAGAACAAGTGGTCACAAGACCAGTCAAGAAAGGCAAAGCAAGCTCAGGGTGGATCACAAAGTCACCACACAGTCCGAGCACAAGCAAAGGGCCACAAGGCCAGTTCACATGCAGAGTTATATATAAAAGAGAACAAACAATACAGTCATCATACCCTAGCAAGTGTAAGCATGCAGGTATATATATAGATCACAGTACAAGCAGAGTCACGCAGTAAGCAAGTGAGGCAAAGTAGGCACAAGGCCTAACACAGTAGAGGAACGCTAATGATCACCAGGCGAAAGTGCCTTGGTGAATATATCAGCAGTGTTGGCCCTAGTGGCCACGTACGCAAGACGAAGCTGGCCACGCTGCTGCAACTCTCGAGCAAGGAAGTATCGCAGAGCGATGTGCTTCGTTCTGTGCTCCAGTCTTTGCTCCTGACACAAGGCAATCATGGCCTTGTTGTCCACGTACAGAATTGGAGGCGAACTAGGCTGCTCTCCCAAGTCAGTCAGCAGGTAGGTGAGCCAGCGTAGCTCCTGTGCAGCCATGGCCCCGGCGTAGATCTCAGCCTCACAACTGGAGCTGAGAACCGAAGACGAGCGGGTAGACTGCCAGGAGATAGAGCCAGAGCCAAGGCTGAAGGTGTAACCCTGAGACGACCGCTGCGTAGCTGAGTCGTCAACCCAAGAAGCGTCTGCGTGATCGGTGAGGACAACTGGACCCCGTCCTCCAAGCACGAGCCCCATGCCCGACGTACTGCACAAGTAGCGCAACACCCTCTTTGCAGCATCCCAGTGCACCTTTCGGTGCCTGCCGGGAGCCACGTAGCAAGCCAGGAGGCTGAGAGGGTACGCGAGGTCCGGTCGAGTGCACGTCATCAGGTACATGAGGCAACCCATAAGCTCTGGGCACGGACCACTCGGCTCTACGGACTCGTCCGAAGGTGGAGCTGAGAGCGAGTGGCTGGTAGACAGAGGAGTGGGCTGTGACGACGAGTACTGGAAGCCGAATTGCCAAAGGACCTGGTGCACCATGTGTGACTGAGTCAGGGTAATGGTGCGCCTAGCTCTGTCCCGGGTGATCTGCAAGCCAAGATAGCTGCGCAGTTCACCCAGGTCAGTGCAGGTGTGTCTCTTCTGCAGCTCCGACTTCACAAGGGTCAGTGCCTCAGTGTCAGCAGTGGCAAAGACGAGGTCGTCGACGTAGACAAGGACGTAGAACGGCGGCAGCGAGGTGTGGGTGCGTAGAAACAGCGACTGGTCAGCAGTAGCAGGAGCAAACCCAAGAGCCGCAAGTGTAGTCCTCAGTGTGTCGTGCCACTCGCGAGGCGCCTGACGGAGACCGTAGATTGGCCACCGAAGACTCCACTGAGTACCTTTAGGAAAAGGCTCAGTGAAACCAGGTGGGCGGCGCAACCAGATCTCCTCGTGCAGGCTGCCCTGCAGGAAAGCTGTGCTGAAGTCTAGAGAGTGCAACTCATAGTCACGCTGAGCAGCGACGTGCAGCAACACCCGAAGACTAGTCATCTTCGGAGTGGGGGAGAAGGTCTGGAAGTAGTCAACTCTGTGTCGCTGACTGAAGCCTCTAGCAACGTAACGCGCCTTAAAGGCAGGCGGAGAACCCGGCGGCTGCTTCACCCTGAAGATCCACATGCCATCGACTATGTTCGCCCCAGGTGGGGGAACCTCGTCGACGTAGGTGCCTGTGGACTTCCAGGACGCCATCTCGGCATCCATGGCTGCCTGCCACTGAGGACGCAGACGAGGAACGCGACAAGCAGTGCGAACAGGCGAGACAGGACGAGACGCAGGCTCACGACGCTCTGTAAGACCGCCGGACTGCTCAGTGTAAGGAGAGGGAGCAGGCAGTGGGGAGGCTGGCTGTAACGGCGGCTGCGACTGGTCAGGCAGGGGACACAGGAGGGGAGGAGGAAGGGCAGCAGAAGGCGGGGTACCAGAGCCTGCTGGAGCAGGGGAACGAAGTACGATCGCGGCCGCGCAGCACCACCAGGGTCAACAGCTCCAGCTCCTCCAGCTCCAGCACCTCCAACACCAGGGCCTCCAACTCCAGCGCCTCCTGCACCAGGGCCTCCAACTCCAGCTCCTGCAGCTCCAGGGACACCAGCGCCAGTAGCACAAGGCTCCGTAAGGTCTCCAGCTCCAGCACCCTCAACACCACCAGTCCCGACAGCTCCTGTACCCCGGGTACGAGCACCTCCAGGACCAGTGGTCGCAGTTCATCCAGTAACACCAGCTCCAGCAGCAACTCCTGTACCTCCAGCTCCAGCAGCGCCAGCACCTCCAGCTCCAGAAGCTCCACTCCGAAGGCGCGTATGCCGAACACGCAACTGGTGCGGAGAATGTCTCGGCGAAGCACCAGTAGAACCTCCAGACGAAGCAGCACCCTGAGGCTCCGCACCTCCAGACTCCGCACCCTCCGACGCAGCACCCCCAGGCTCAACACCCTCAAGCTCAGCACCCCCAGGCTCACCACCCCCAGTCGCAACACCCCCAGGCTCAGCACCCCCACTCTCAGCACCCTCAGACTCCGCACTCCCAGGCTCCGCACCCCCAGACGCAGCACCCCCACACGCAGCACCTCAAGGAGCACCTGAGCCGACAGCTACCTGAACAGGCGCAGGACCAGGGAGAGGGTCTACCTGAGACACACCTGAGGGAGCAGGACCCTGGGGCGGGAGGGGGTCTACGGAAGGGGGACCGAGAGCAAGGAAGAGCGGCGCGGGGGGGGGAGGGGTAGAGCGGTAGGGGAAGAGACGGTAAAAGGGAACCGACTCGTCAAACGTGACGTCCTGAGAAGTGAAGACACGGCGCGAGGTGGGGTGGTAAAACTGCCAGCCAGGCACGTCAGGGACAAAGCCAAGGAAGGCGCAGGAGATAGCACGGGGGGAGAGCTTGTCCGCGGACTTATCGCAAACAAAGGCACGAGATCCCCAGACCCGGAACACCGACGCATTGCCAACCTCCCCCGTCCAACCCAGTGTGGGCGAGGTCTCCGGCAAGGAGACACGGGGCCAGAGGTTGAGCTGATGCGTAGCGTTCCGGACCGCAAACGGACACAGAAAATGGGGAGCATGGATCATGGAGGTACGAGTGACCTCCTTGACTAAGCCAATGCGACACTCAGCAATCCCATTTTGCTGAGGGGAGTCCGGAAGCGTGAACGACTAGAGAATGCCCTCCCCACGATATAAGTCCCGCTAGAGGTTGGAGGAGAACTCACCACCTCTGTCAGAGTGCAGACGAAGGACAGGAAGGTCCTGGCCGAACTGCTCGCGGAGCTGGAGTTCAACAAGATCAAGGGATCAAGACATCAACAACCTGACCCTTTCTACACAAGGGGAAGACCGTGGTGTACCGCGTGTAGTCGTCAAATACCAGCAGAAAGTAGCGTTCGCGGCTCTGTCTACTGACGCACGCTGGGCCCCACACTTCCATGTGGAGAGTCTGCAGGGGAGCAGTCGTTGGGGGAAACGAGGAGGAGTGAGGAGCAGCACGCTGCCGCCCCTCGACACAAGGGAGGCAAGGCGGGGCAAGCGAGGGCGGCAAGGGAGGCAGAGACCTGGGAAGACCAGAGACAATTAGACGAGAGTGCATGCCACGAAGACGTGGGAGGGAGGGGTGACCCAGGCGGTGGTGCCACAGAAGAGTCTGGTGCGATAGGAGGCGACACGAGCAAGAGGCGGCTACCTGACCTGGCGCGGACACCTGAGCTGACGCAACTACTTGAGATGGCTCGGTAGCGAGGGTGTACAGACTCGACCCTGGCCGACGAGTGAACGTGGCCAGGTGACGTCCCGTCCGTGTGCACGTGCAGATTGACACACGCTGACACCCAGGAGTGGTGGTAGTGACCATCGCATCCTGGAGGTCAGCGGTACTCACCAAGTTCGTAGAGAACGAGGGGAGGTGAAGACCTGAGAGTGAGCCGGACGGAACCGCCGGACACGAGAGGACAGTGGAGGAACGGGCCACGACCGGTCCCCCGGAGGGGTCAGCCAGT